GGCTCTTGAACAAGAACAGGCCGATGGTTCCGTTCGCCCCATTCTGTTCGTTAGCCGCGCTACGCTCGAATCCGAGCGCAATTGGACCGTGCTCGACTTGGAGGCTGGAAGTATCGTGTGGGCAATCAAACGCCTGCACGATTACTTTTGGTCTACGCACTTTCTGATTTATTCGGACCACAAGATTTTGGAAAGCATCGTCATGGTGGGTGAACACAACGCCCGCGTTCAACGTTGGCTCTAGTCTTTCCTCGTTCAATTACACCCTTTTTTACCGCAAAGGCACTGCCAACGCCAATGCGGGTTTTCTTTCCCGGTTGCCCTTGCCGGCAACCGAAGCGGATAGACACGGTGACACCAGTATCGCAGTCGATGACGTCGCGGGCGTTTATCTCATTTGTGCGTGCGGACGGAGTTGTCACCCTAGTTCGACGCCGAACATCGGCTTGGGTGGGCTTGACATTGACGATCAACGAGACGCGTTGGCACACCCGCCTTTGACGGAGGATGACTTTGGGGACTTCCGCCGTTTTGGGCCACAAATGGTCCTGCCGGCTCCGTCGCCCTCCTCCGTAGTTGAATCGTCGATTTTTTCGCTTCCTGGTGTTTTCGAATTTGTTTGCGATACAGCCCCCGTGAGTTCTGTGCCCGATGGACCTCCTCCGGCTTCCGTTACTGCGGAGCCAGACGTCGCTCCCTCGTTCACCGTCGGAACCTCGTCGGCTGCCTTGTCGCTTTCGCGTGGCCCTCTGATTTCTTCTCGTACTCGGGCGAGAACGAATTCGGCCTCTGGCATGGCTCACAGCCGTCCCAATTATTTTCCAAAACAACCACGGGCCGTTGTGGTGCCCAGGACGCCGCGGCCTCCTCGAACGCCGGCCCGGTCGAGCGGTGCCGCGAAATCTACGAGAGCCGTGGGTAACCCTACCTCTGGTCTAGGCTTAGGCCCATTATGCTAGCATTGCTTTTGGCATAATTGGCCATTTGGAGCATAAAAAAAGCATAATTGGAAAATAGCAATGCTCGAGCATATTTTGCTCAAAAAGGAGCATATTCGTCTGTGCGAGGAGCATACACGGCTCCTTTGCTGAGCATAGTGGCTGTGCGCTGGCATCTTAAGCGCGCCTGCCGCCTGATGCTCGATCGTTGGACATCTGATGTGAGTGTCACACTTGACATAAGTGCATACACATAAGACAGACATGAAGACGATCTTAAAGGAGTACAACTAGCGCGCGCGCGCTCTCCGAAGACACGCACACAGCAGTGGGCTCCACACGCACACACGCCCGCGCGCGGACTGCTCGGCATGGCACGCTCTAGCTCTTCAAGCTCCAGCTGTCTTGAATCCCCCCTCCATGATGAGAGCAGTTTCACCCAGCTGTTTCACACGATTTTGTACATCATGTCTTCATCCCTCTCGTGAATCGTGCTCGTACTTTTCGTCGGTTGCAGGAGAACGTCAAGCTTTGGCTCAAGAAGATGGCACTCTTTCACATGCACGGCGTCCGGTACCACGCATACGCGAGAATCGGGGACCATCCGGGAGCTAAGGAACACGCGACCATCCGGCTTTTCGAGGGGGCGAGACTGCTGAACTTCACCTTCGTGAAGGGGCACCAACTGGAGGAGTCGGACGTACACATCCTAGCGGAAGTGCTTCCGTTCGTGACACCAACCGTGGTCGCCCTCGTAGAAGAGATGGATGCGTACAACGTCGCGGCGGCTGAGACGGATGCCGGCTGCGATTTGTGGGCTTTCTGGCATGACAACAGGCTTAAACTA